GAGTAAAGTACCGTATTGTCATTTCCTTGATTGTCACTATTGTGAATTGATACTATAGTTTCCTTAAACTATAAAGTATCTTCTTTTTATCGAATACCTTGTTCTTTGTTAATAATTGTTATCCTTAATAATTTAATCTTAGAAACTTCCTTCATTTGTTATGGAAGAGCTGATTTACATGTCTAATAAAATGAGCATGCCATATTGGCAGGCTTTGGCACGTTTAATTTCATTTAATGACATTTCGTTTCTAATCAGCTCATCGATCTCAGTGATTGTTTTTATTAAGTTTTCTTCCTCACTCTCAGTAATTGAAAGAGAAAATGAATTTCTCCGAGTAAAGTATCGTATTGTTATTTAACAATAAATAAAGAGTTTTTTTAGAATACCTTGTTCTTTGTTAATAATTGTTATCCTTAATAGTTTAATCTTAGAAACTTCCTTCATTTGTTATGGAAAACATTGCGCAAAGAGCTACTTTATATGTCTACATAAAATAAGCAATCCATATTGGCGCGCTTTGACACGTTTAATTTTGTTTTTTAATGTCATTTCATTACTAATAAGGCCCCCTTTCATTGATATCAGTGATTGTTTTGATTAAGTTATTTTCCTCACTCTCAGTAATTGATAGAGAAAATGAATTTCTCTGAGTAAAGTACCGTATTGTCATTGCCTTGATTATCACTATTGTGAATTGATACTATAGTTTCCTTTAACTGTAAAAAGTGTAAGAATGTCTTCGGATAATTGATTTTTTATGGAATACCTTGTTCGAGTTTTATTAATATTTAAATTTATATTAATTTGGTGATAATTTAATTATTTTTATGCTTTTATTAAAAATGAAAATTATTCATTTCAAAAATATGAACTTTGAATTTAATAGGTACCATTTTCAATAAAATTTGCAACGATTTTTTATTAAAATAAAAAGTAACGTATCATCACAATCCGGATTTTTGAGTCAAATAGGTCAATCAATCCGGATTATAGGATACGCAATGGGTTGTGAAATGCAGTCCGGATTACCGAATAATCCGGATTGTCGAGGTTCGGATTATCAAGTTTATACTGTACCTTGTTCTTTCTTAATAATTGCTATCCTTTTTAATTTAATCTTATGAACTTCCTTCATTTGTTATAGCAAATCTTGTGCAATGAGCTACTTTATATGTCTAATAAAATTAGCATGCCATATTGGCAGGCTTTGGCACGTTTAATGACATTTTATTTCTAATCAGCTCCTTTCATTGATCTCAGTAATTGTTTTGATTAAGTTTTCTTCCTCACTCTCAGTAATTGATGGAGGAAATTAATTTCTCTGAGTAATGTACCGTATTGTCATTGCCTTGATGGCCACTATTGTGAATTGATACTACAGTTTCCTTTAACTATAAATAAAGTGTATTCTTTTTATGAATTACCTTGTTTTCTGTTAATAACGGTTATCCTTTATAATTTAAGCTGCCATCGCGTGAGGTGGGGTAGAGGTTTTATCCGGCTGAACTGTATATAATATAATTTATTTTCTAATAATATGTTTTCATCGGTCTAAGTGATTGTTATGATAAGGCAATATACCCCTTTTCTCTCTCTCTCTCTCTCTCTCTCTCTCTCTCTATATATATATATATATATATTTATGATTAGAATACCGTACTTTGATGCATTGATTGTCATTATTGTGAATTGTTCTTGTGACCAACTCCTCTGTAAGAAAAGGTATATCCTCATATGTCAAAGTAAATAATAAATCTAATTAATTTTTTTTTATTCATGGAAACATTACTTTATTTGCCTAATATAAATTGGCGTACATATTGGACCGCTTACAAGTTTAGGTGTATGTGTGTAACGTCATTTCAATTATGATTATCACCTTTCAACAATTTACCTAAAGCAGTTTGATTGATGGCAGTCACTATTGTGAATTGCTACAAAGACTTAATCTCTTTAAAGTAGAAGAAATTTAAATAAATATTAATGAAATGTATTTATTTATTTCATTTGTGCAAAGAAATTGCAGTATTTATTATTTTTAAAAGAAAGTATTGTAGTATTTTTTGTTTGTTTTTGCTTTTTGCCTTTGGCGGCAATATATATCAACTATAAAATTTGGTTCCATTAAATATTTGACTTATAGACAATTTGGAGTGTATTTAGAAATGTCTGCCCACCCCATCATAGCATTTTTTACTAAAACGGATTTTGTCAGCAAAATTTAGAGGCAGCCGATATCCAGCTGGTCTCCCTGGATGACCTTATGTATAGGCCTTGTTCATATCCACCACTTATTAGGCATACACGAAAATATTTATGGTTGTTGAACAGTCAGAAAACAATAAAAAAATGCTAATAGTGTGTACTTGTCTTAAGGCTGTTGCATTTTCTCGGCAGTCTACTCGTCTGATAGCCACTATTCCGAACCATCAGTTTGTATTTTTGGTGATATTGAATATATCCATGATATCCACTTAAGACTTATGCCCAAATATCTTTCTTATGCCCAAATATCCGAGAAGGATACAATGTCCTCCTTGAGCCGATTTTGGTCGGTAAGAATCTCTTAGAATTTGTATCGCTTATAACGTCCACATTTTATAGTATCTCGGTCCGTCTTTATGAGTTATTTACACGATTTTTATTTTCTTCATATTCGTGACTGATTGAAGACGGCTTTTTAGAATTTTGCATTTTATTCTTTTAATGTAATTCTTCAAAAAATATAATGATGTTAAAAGTGAACATAACTAATTTTTCTCATACCCCAAATATAATTCATTTAAAATCTTATTGTCGGCTATTTTTTTAATTATTTCTATTTATGTTTAATTAATTAAAGATTTTTCAATTTCTCTACTTCTATTTTCTTCAATAAATTCATCTAATATCACCTGTCATATGTGATTTATTTTAAATAGTCGTTTCATTTCCTTCAAGGTCAGCTGGCTTTTGATCAATCCAATCAAAACAAAAACATTCATAAATGAATTTATATTATGTATAGTTAAAGAAGAACCCCAATTGGGAATCTATCCCTTTGCAAGAATACAACAACAGTAAATGAACAACACTACTACTAACAACAACAACAATAGAAGCAACAACAATAAAAATAATCCACCGACATCCATCTTTCAATCACCACTCTCATTTGGCATACATATTATTTTGCTGCTTCCTTCTTTTCAAAGTATGCAACAAAACAGCAACAACATACATACTACATAACAACAACAAAAACAACAAGAAATACCAATTACTACAGAGATGGCAACTCGTCGTTGTCGAAGTCATTGTCGCTCTCCATCTCCCTCTCTCTCTGTGTTTCAATTTGACTTGACGTGAGTGGCAACCGTTTTTTGTTGGTTTTCCTCCTTGTTTTTTTTGACACCGGGCTTTTTGTAATTGTTTTTGTTGTGTGTGTGTGTGTCTTTTTATTTTCTATTGTACCCTATTTCCCTATGTTCCTATTATTATGTTTTGGTTTGAATAGGCGAGAAATAGAGAGCGAGGAGTAGTGTGCTAGAAGGTATACAAAATAATAAACACACAGTATCATCATCACCACACCACCAAAAAATCCAAACACATTGGTGGCGTACAATAATAAAAACAACAGAGAACATACTACATTCGCTCTCTCACACATGATGTGTAGTGGCTTTTTGTGCTCTCTGTCAAACAAAACAAAAGAATTCTCAGTGATGTGTTAGAAAGAGACAACTAGTTGGGTTTAGTGTACTACGGCGCTATGTCAATAATAAAAGACGAGAAGAATGCAAAAAAACGAAACGAAACAAGAAAAAACATGAATAAAATGAAAAAATAAACGGAAGAGACAAAATAAAAGAAACGTCATAAAAAATACAATAAATTTATGAAAAGAAGAAAACGAAGCTGAACCAAAAAAAGTTTACTAATAATCCTTCTTTTAATTTTGTGTGCTAATTTTTCTTCTTCTTCCTCCTATTTTTTATTAATTAGTTATTGTAATAAAGAGAAGCAAATGAAAATGAAAAAATATAGATGTGATTAAATTGTGAAATGAAAATAAAAATAAAAAGAAGAAGCATTCAAAGCAAATTGTGGTGAATTACGACGACAGCAGCGACAGTGACGACGACGGTATCGTGTAAAACAAGAAAGAAAGCAAGCAAGCACAAGCAAAGTAAAAAAAAAACATTGGCAAAAATTTGGCTGCAGGAAAAAATCACAAAAAAGGAAAATTGCAAGAAAATTGAAAATTAAAGTTTTAATTAAATCAAACAACAGTATAGCAGCTACATACATACATACAAACGAACCACATTACTACTCGTCCTTTTAAGTATTAGCAAGAAGAAGAAGAAAAGCCTCAAGGATTAGCGGCTACCAAAAAAGGCACGGCAGGAATATTCATCGATTTTTTTTTGTCATCTATCCTGCCTTATTCTCAAGTGGAGTTCTTCCGTTCTTCGATCTTTTTTGTTGTGTCGTTTTAGTGCCTCAGTGAGTGGCCCCAGTAGAGGCGTCCGTAAGTTCTCCCCCCGTGTGGCTAGAACTCCCCCCGTCCGACACCAACTAAGGGTACATATATCCGAGGAAGGAAGCAAAAACAACAAAAGCGACAGAAAAGACGACCGAGTTGTTGTTGTCATCATCATCGTTGTCGTTTGTCTACTTGAGATTGTCTACTTCCTCATTACCTTTTCGCTGTGCATCTTCCTCGCAGAAAAGAAAAAAAATACGACGAGACCAGCCAGCCACCGACGACCCCTCTGGTCTGTCCTTTTTTGTTGCAGTGCTTTTCTGTTGGGCTTAGAATTTGTCATAGAAGATTAACCAGCCAGCCAACCCACACAACCTGACGACACAACGGCCTATAGACCGACAAACAGACATCATCTTCAACTCATCATCATTTGCAAAACTGGGTCTCCATCTAATGACCTATCATGTTGTCTTGTTTCAAAGGCAATAAATTACCTTAAATCTTCTACGCTCATCATCCCGTTATGGACAGCAGCAGCAGTAGCAGCCAAAAAGATCAAAAGTCGCCTGGGTCCAATCATTTACCACCGCATACCAGCCATAATCTGGCAGTGGCCGCTGCCGCTCAACATCAGCAACAGAATGTAGTCAGTGGTGGTGGCAGTATTGGTGGAGCTAGTAATACAAGTGGTCTAGGGGCAGGTGGTGATCAACAACTACATTTACCCCCACCCACAGCACAAAACGCCATGAGTAGTGGCAATAATGGAGGCAACAGCAGCAACAACATGGCTGTCCTTATGTCAGGCTCAACAGGAAATATTAGCAGCAACAACAACAACAGTTCAGCGAATATCCAACTAATGGCTGGTAGTGGTAATCTCGCATCATCGGCTGTTGCTGCTTCGGCCTCTATGGGAGGCAATTTTTTTGTTAACAATATTTCCAATAGCCCAGCAACAACGGCCGCCTCCGTCAGCGCCACAACCATGGCGGCGTCTGCTGCCAACAATAACAGTGACTTCGATTCCGATACTGAGCTTTCAATTGTAGCTGCAGCAGCAGCGGCCGCTGCCGCCAATTCCGCAACAAATGGCTACACTTCCAATACCAACAACAACAGCAACAATAATGGCAATGTCAGCAGTAATTCCAATTCTTCCTCCTCGCTAAATGCAAAACAGCAAAGGCAGCAGAAGAGGCGACGTGAACGGGCACTACGGCTACAGGCTGAACGTGATAATCGCAGTGCGACAAATACAACAGCGAACAGCTCGAATAGCTCGGCTGCGGCTGCGGCTGCTGCCAATGCCAACTCCTCCAATATTAATAGTAATAATAGTAGTAGTAATAATAACAACAACAATGGCAGCAACAATTCCACAAATTCGAACAACAACAGCAGTAGTAGTAGTACTAACACACAGTTTCCTAATGCCATTATTAACAACTCGACGACGACGTCGACATTGGTGGTGGGGGCCACAAACGTCGCCGCCGCCAACAATGTTATTGGTGGTGCCGCCGCTGCCACAACAGCCCTATCCTCCTCATCATCCTCTTCATCCTCCTCCTCATCGTCCTCCTCATCATCATCATCGGGTATTGCCTTAACAAATACCACCCCAACGTCATCAGCGACCCAACTGAATGCCACCACAACGGGCACCAACAATCAACATCTCTATCAGGCCAGCAGTGCCAATAGCATGGGCGAAGATAGCAACAATTCGAGTGGCATTTTTACAACAAGTTCCAGTAGTAGTGCCAACAACAATGCCCTACTACCACCCACAGACAGTATTGCATCGCTACTCCTAAATCCTCCCCATTCACCGGATTGTCATTCGGCAGGTGGTGGTATTATGGCCAGTCCCAGTGATAGTGAGGGAGAATCTTTGGACGAAGATCTATTATCGACATCATCGTCTTCGACGTTGCTGTTGCCACGCGACAAACCAATACCACGGCCACCGCCACCTGTACGCCGAAGATTACCCCGTTCACCTGTCTTAGAAGAGGAAATTATCGATGGATTTGCAATATTGGAATTTAAAACCTATGAAGATTTAGAGGTGAGATTTTTAAGGAGAATAACAAATTACCATTCTATGACATTTTCATTTTACTTTTTTATTTATAATTTAGGGGTTCAGATCATGCAGATCTAGATAAGGAGGGATATGTGTAGGTGTTTTGGGTATCAAAGGTCCCAAAGGAGTTTTTTATGTTCGATAGGAGCCATGTGGTGGTTATCACGTCTACAAAATGCAAATATAATTATTTTAATTCAATCTATGAAGGTTCGAATTTCTGGAGAATACGTTTTGGACCAAGGTCTACATTCTATGGCCCATGTTCTATGTAGAAAGACTTCGTTTAGGTCTTCTAGAAATATATGATCTTCCTTAGGGGATCTATATATGGAATTCCAATTGATAGAATATTTTAAGGTCTCCCCACTACTGAATTGCGTATTTTTAGTTTCTATCGACATAGTCGACATCTTTATACCTTCGATAGGCAATCAGTCTGTAAATCAGCTTCAGGCCACTTGTACGAAATATCTTAATTAAGGCGAATTCAAAAGGCCATATAGCAGATCTTCTGAAAATATATGTTCAATATTCAATCTATAAATACCTTCTATTTATAGATTGAATATTTTCCGAAGTAAGACTCCTTTATGGATGTAATCCTACATTTTTAAATTACTTTAGAATTTATTTTGAAAAATCGTTGCCGGGTCTCTCAAAGACTTTCCTTTGGGATTGAATTGTTTTGATACACGAGACTCTTCTTCAGTTATGCTTTAGATAGAAGGTATTTGTAGACTGTATTCCATCTTCAGGATCAGATGCCCTCTATAGACTTTTTTATACTAATAGCCTTTTTTATATGAACAAGAAGCATTTTCAAATTGAAGACCCTCTTCTATAAAAAGATGGCCCTCCAATTGAGGGCCTTTAAAGAGAAGATCATCTTGAGGTATTTTTATATTTTTTTTTCGGCCGAAGTTCTTCTTGAGGTCTTTTTATTGAGGTATTTTTAGATATGATAGATATGCGATGGCGCTCTTAAAGGACCTTTAGAGAGAAACCCATCTTTAGGTATTTTTATTACTTTTTTGGTCTTCAGTAGACAGAAGTTTTTCTTGACGTATTCAATAGGTCGATCGATTAACTTCTTGTGGTCTTTTAGGATATTTATACTTAAGGTCACCCATAATCCAAACATCTGATCCATAAGCCTACTGAAAATACCCTGCCATCTGAAAGAGCAGAAAATTCCTTCCAGGTCTTTTAGAAACAAAAAAAACTCTTACCCTCTTTCTTAAAAATGAAATGATTTTTGTTCAATATCTTCTTAAGGAATTTAATATACAGAAGTTTCTCTTAAGGCAATTCAATATGTCGATTAATCGATTAACTTCTTGATATCTTTTAGGATATTTTTCTTGAGGACATCCATAAGACGAATATCTTCATTAGACCTTCTTTTGACACAATACTCATAGGAGAAATTCTGTGCATAGAAGATCTTCTAATGAATGAAGGCATTCTAAAAAACTTGGCTCTATTGAGAACCTTTAAAATCTTTATATATTTTTTAGACTGAACATATTCATGAGGTATTCAATAGGTCGATCGATTAACTTTTTGAGGTATTTTAAGATATTTCTTTAATTCAATGATTTTTTTAATTCAATACCAAATGAATGCAATGCCGATTTGTACATCATAATATTTTTACCCTGGCTAAATTGACTCCGAAGATGGGAACCATCGGACCACTCCTTCTGGTAGCTCCCCCAGTTTTTCACTTTTTTTTTAAATCCAACATAAAGCGAATGGAATGTCAGATTTGATTCAAACTTTAAACATCGTAATATTTTTACCAAACCTAGATCATGGCCTACGATGGCCCACCCATCGGTCCATACCCTCTGGTACCTTCCCCAAAAAAGTGTCAGAATTTTGAACATTTTTTTAAATTTAATGAAATGAAATCTTAATTTTAATTAAAATTATTTTTTCCTCTCTTTCTTCGCTCACCTCCTCTCTAGTTTGCAATAAAATTGGGCCAAAAACGTAAAGAGAAACGATTATCAGCGCTGGAAGAGCTGACATGCACCTATAGCATTGAAGAAATCAAAATGCCAAAGATCATTGATACGGGACAGCCGCATCCAATACGAAGTGGCAGTGGAGGAAACAGCAACAACAATAATAACAACAACAATGGTGGTGGTATTGGTGCTACAGCGGCAGGAGTTGTCACTGCGGGTTTGGGTTCGTTAAATCTAAATCACAGCAACAACAATAGCAACAACTCTCATCATCATTTACAACAACATTTACAAAAAGATACTAACATGGCAATGACACCGAACAGCAACAACAACAACAATAGTAGCAGTAATAACGGTAGTCATCACAAGGATAATAATAATAGCAGCAGTATTCGTATACCCACAATGAATGTCAATAATCATTCCATGATGATGGTTAACAGCAACAACAACAACAGCTCGAACACAAACATCAACAACAGTGGCCAGAATAGTGGGAATAACAACAACATTAGTGTTAATAATTTAAGTGTTACCACAGATGTGAATATGACATCGTTAACAGCAACAACACCAGTTATGGGAAGTGGAGCACCAACAGCCGGATCGGCGACGGCTGATACATCCAATTCACCCACAACACAACCAATACCCATGGATACCAGCAGCACCACCACCACCCCCACCACGTGGAAGGATAGTAGTGGACAAGCACAGCCACCACCACCCTCCTCAGTGTTTAGTACCCACAATGGTACAGCAGCGGGTGTGTTGGGGGATAACAACACCGGCGATGATCGTAAAACCCCTGCCACCACAGAGAATGGCAATGATAGCAGTATTATGATGGATACATGTGATGGTAATGCAGATGCGGATATGGCCATCCAGCAATCACCATCAACAGGTTTGGGCCCAGCCACACAAACGACAGCAGCGGGAGCTATGGGTGCAACATCAATAGCTTCTTCGGCACTATCAACAAATTCCAATGCCACAAATGCAATGGATACCACCATCGCCACCACAGTGACTTCTAAAGTCAACAGCAGCAACTCAAATGATAAAAGCACAAAATCCTTGGCGCCAACATTACCAGGAAGCCACCATGCTCATCACATGGCAACACCACCAGCATCAGCGGCGGCGGGCTCTTCATCAACCTCATCATCTTCATCTCCGATGGTTGGTCCTTTAACACCAAATATGCAAAGTCCTTCCATAGCGGCGGCAGCGGCGGCCATTCAAACTTCAACACCTCCCTCTTCCACCTCCAACTCCTCCTGCTTCGCCTCAAACGCCTCAACGGCAACAAGTGGTGGCAGCAATTCAATGGAGAAATTGTCGGCCGCCCAATCACCCCAACAACAACAACTGCTGCATTCACATCATCAACCACCACCAGCACCTCCCAGCAGCAGCATGGCCAGCATGCATCATCCGCATCCAACCTCAACGGCAAGTGATAACTTCAAATCAAATAGTATACATCCACATCCTGGTCTGGTTGGGCCACCTTCCTTTAAGTCAATGTCTTCATTGGCCGGCAGTAGCAGTAGTAGCAGTATACCAGGAGCATTTAATGTGAGTACAAAAAAATTTAAAATAAATTTCAAAATACTAACTCTCCTTTTCCTCCTCCTCCTTTAGAAATCAAACGCACATTTAATGGATCAAAAGATGCACAACAGCAGCACCAGCAACAACAACAATAATAATAATAGTAGTAATGAATTTATAACAAATATGGCTGCAGCAACACCACCCTCATCATCAGCATCAGCTGGCAATGTCGTTTCACAACAGACGCCACACACGGTAGCTGCAGCAACAGCGCCAACAGCCCCCAATGCCACACCCACAGGAGGATCACCATCTGCACCACCCCATACAGCGGCCAATACAATTGGTGGTAGCGGTGGGGTATTAAATCAAAAAGATTTACATCATCATCAGCCACACCATCCTGCTGGCGCACCACCGCCGCCCTCACAATCGCCGCATAGTCATCCCACGCATGCACATCACATGTTGTCACATCATATGGCCAGTGCAGCAGGACCGCCACATTCAACGGGCATGATGGCAACATTAATGGGTGGTCCACCGGGTAGTGGTGGTAAACATGGGCATCCCCCACATCATACACCGTTGCAACATCATCATCAGCAACAATTGCAACAACAGCTACAGCAGCAGCAACAATTGCAACAACAACATCAGCAATTGCAACAGCAACATCATCAACAGCAACAGCAGCAGCAACAACACCACCATCATCATCAACAGCAGCAGCAACATCATCAGCATCACCACCACCAACAGCAGCAGCATCATTCACTTCATTCTCATCATCTGCAACATCATCAGCAGCAACACCAACTGCAGCAGCATCATCATCAACAGCAGTTGCAGCAACAACAGCAGCAACACAAAGATATGATGTCATCTTCTGTTGGTGGTGGCAGCAGCAGCAATGATCACAAGGATCGTTTAAGTGATGTAAGTTTTCGTTCTCTGGGGACTCATTTTGAGATCCTCATTATTCACCAGTGGAATTTTATATGGAAGGCATTCTAAAAAAAAAATCCGACAAGTGTGAATCGGCGGAGTTTTTTTGTAGGGAAATGTTCTGATAAAGAAGACAAAGTCAAACTAAAACGCTTTCCTTGGACCTTCCATAGAAAAAATAAACAACTCTTATGGAATGAAGTCTTAGCATCTCCGATAGCCGACGAGGGGGCTCAAAGTAGTCGAATCCTCCCATTGAGACATCTGTGAAACCACCCATTGGCTAAATCCGCTTGTTCTACGGCGAGGTAGTCGGTAACAGATGGTCGAGAGAACCAGGTTGCAGAATCTTAAAAGCTATCTGGCCTGAATTCTCTCTTGCCGAAGAACTTTTTCGCTGTTGTCACATAATAAGAGGGAGATTAAAATCATTGTGGATCTCTCACTTTGAAATGGGACTCCAGCGGAGAGAATGATTACTGTCATATATGTGAGGACGAAGAGGAGATAGAAAAAATTGAACATATCCTCGCTAAGTGGCAAAGGACACAAACGGTTTGAAAGATATGAAATTGATAATCTAGCTTTCTTCTCCAAAATAGACCCCCTTAAGATCCTAGGTTTTGTCAAAAATCTGGCATGGCTAAAATAACCACTTTTTAGTCTCTCTTACTCCTACTATTTTCTTCTCTCTTTCACTCTCTCTTCTTTTCCACTTTCTTTTTACGTATCAAAGACAATAGACTCCGAATGAACGGTTGTTACTAACAACCGTACATCCCTTTCCTAACCTAACCTAGCGTCTCCGATACTTCTCCCTAGTCATTTATTGGCATAACACCCTATAAAATTTGTATAAAAACTAAGGTTTTTCTTGACAGATGTTTCTTCATTGAGGTCTAGATTTATGGCATTCATTCTTGATCCATTTAGGGTATTTTGTAGGAGGAAGGCCTTCTATGGAAATAAATCTTAGCATCTCCGATACTTCTTCCTAGTCATTTATAGGCATAAAAACCTCTTGATTTGTTATAAAAGCGAAGGTTTTTCTTGGCAGATGTTTTTTTATTGAGGTCTAGATCAATTGAAATAAAATAGATGAGGTCTTGCAAAGACTAAAGATCTTAAGGACTTCAATAGACAAGAAGACTCTCTCTTTAGGGCGAGAATAAACAACCTTCTGGGGTATTTTATGCGCAAATGTCAGCTGGCTTTTTATCGACAGGTGTGTGTCATTCTTGATCCGTTTAGGGTATTTTGTATAGGGGAAGACCTTCCATAGTATTTCATTCTTTTACTTCAGGTCTTCTAAATACCAATAAAGATTTTTGTACCCTCTCCGCAATGAATACATATATTCTTCCGTCTTCTATCTTTCAAATGGATTGTGAAATGATTTAAAAGAAATTGTTTACACATTTGTTTTGTTTTTTGCCTTCAACTTGCCGTCAACTTTTTTCTGTTGTATGTTTGAATGTTTGTGGGGGAAGTATCAGAAGGAGTGGATCGGACTGAAGGGTCCCATATTCGGCTATGATCTAGGTTTGGAAAAAGTATAACGATTTGTAAAGTTTGAATCAAATCGGAAATTCTCTCACTTATGAAGGATTGTACCGATTGGTCCAGTATTCGTATATTATCTAGGTTTGGTAAAAATATTATGATGTGCAAACTGTGGATCGATGGGTCTCGTCTACGGATATAATCTAAGTTTGTTAAAAGTATTACGATTTGCTAGGTTTGAAGCAAATCGGACATTCCATTCCTTTGATATTGAATTAAGAAATTTTCAAAAGTGTGCATTGATGGGTCCCATCTTCGGATATGATCAAGGTTTGGTAAAAGTATTACGATTTGCAAAGTTTGGATCAAAATGAACATTTCATTCATTCGATATTGAATTAAGAAATTTTCAAAATTTTGACACCTTGTGGGGGAGGTACCAGAAGAAGATTTGCAAAGTGTGGATCAAATCGGAATTCTCTCTCAACATTCGATGTTGAATTAAGAAATTTTCAAAATTTTGACATTTTGTAGGGGAGGTAGTAGAAGGAGAGGACCGATGGGTCCCATATACGGCCATGATCTAGGTTTGGTCAAAATATTACGATTTGCAATGATTGAATCAAATCGGACATTCCATTCGCTTAGTATTGGATTTATAAAAATTGAAAATGTTGGTCTTTGTGGTGGGAGGTACTAGACCGTAAGAAAGTTCTACAGGAATTAACAAGAAGTAGAAGAAAATCTTCTAAAGCAGAAGATTATGTTCTAATAAATAGATAATCAAGAGGACTTCTTAGACATTAAAAGGAGAAGCCAGACGTGGGAGACCCAGAATTTTACTTACATAAATGATGATCAATAGGTCTTCAAAAATAAAAGTATAAATCTTCTTTTTCAATAGATGATCAAGAGGTTTTCTTAGACCTTAAGATTGCAAGTGTTCAAGGATTTCCTGTTTAGTAGGCCTAGAGGTTTATATGTAGAAGACCTATAGGTTAATTTATATAGAGACCAAGATATAATTTTTGTAGACAACAAGATGGCGCATAGAGAATAACAGGTCTTCCCATATGGAAAATTTTGCTGGGGAGGAGGAGGAGGAGACCTATAGATTTACTTATATAGAGACCAAGATATACGTTTTTTTTATAGACAACAATATCGGTTAGTATTATTGAATGCAATAAAAATTCAAGAGACTTGAGAATAACAGGTCTTTCTGTATGGAAAAGTTTGTGGCCTTTTGTTTAGCCAGATGTGTGTCATTGTAGTATATGTGTATATATTCAATTCAATTCAATTTTATTTAACTTGTAATTGATGTATATTCAAATATATATCTACACCCCGAAAATTACCTAATAATTACTTAATTTTCTTATCGCAATACAATTCCAAAATATTTATTTTCTTTTCATTCTCTGGCTAATAAAGAAAATAAACAAACCAGCAAATAACCCGCTAATAATGTACAACAATACCAAAAAAAATATGTTTACCTAAGGCGGCCTGAACACAACCCAAACGCACACACACACAGACAGCCATACCGACAAATTATATTCTATTCTATTAAATTTATCAATTAAATGGAAAAAAGCGGCTAATTGTCTATAATTTGACTTGCAATTGTTCGCAATCACCTTTTGGCAAATGTGTGTGTGTGCCCCCACTTTTACACTCACTTCCCTTCACTTTACCCTGTCCCCAAAACTTGATGGTGGAGACATGTCAAAATAGTAATTTTAGTTAAATAGTTTTGCAACACACGCTACTTAGTTAGATTGTTAGGCAGATAGTTATCAGATCTGTTAGTTATGTCTCAAACACTTTTGTGTTGTTCTTGTTGTTGACCGTTTTTTTTATTAAGTATATATAATTAAATTAATTTATTGTGTCATTGTCATCATTACTACAAAAAAATTGATAAATTAATTTAATAGGGAGCGTTTTTTTGTTTGTTGTCGTGATTGTCGTTACACCAATAATTATTAGGTTGCTCGATTTGATAGTCGTATATTTTTAGTATTATTTATTCATAATCAGATAATTTTCACTTTTTTGTTGTTGTTGTAATTGATTATAATTATTACATTTTAATTGTTTTTTTTACTGCTGCTGCTACTTATAAATATTTATTTGCCTACCTACCTACCTAGCTTTGTTTTATATTTGTTTCCATTTGATGTTTTTATGGTTATTGTTGTTGTTTTTCTTTTAAATATTGATTTTAATTAAGTGTAGCCATTGATAAGTGTCGTGTCGTTCGTTGTCGCTCCTCGTCATCGTCTTCTGCTGTTGGACATGAGTGACACTTTTAATTTGTTAATGTCAGTTAGTTATTATGAATTGTCTTCATTGATATTATATAAAAAAAAAAAAATGTTTGTATATACATTAGATATTTATAAAATATTTATATCCAACACATGTCCAACATCTAATTAGGTATTTCTATTAAAAAAATTCTAAAATTTAATCTAAAGAAATTTAGAAGGAGGGGACACAATGCAAACAAGTGATTTGTGAAATGATCGCATTCGCATTTTTCCACCGAATTGGCTGTAATTTAGTACTTTGAATTCTTAATAGGTACCAAACCTCTCCATAAAAAAATTTGGAATATAGGTCCATTTTTTCGGTCCCATATAAGGATACCCCCAATTTTCGGTTCTTCGCGCGTTTTTTCTACCGAATTCGCTGCAATTTGATATTTTATAGTCGTATATGGTAACAAATCTCCTTACCAAAAATTATTAATGTTTGCCCCCTTTTTGGGGTAGTCCCCATATAACCCCCCTTTTTATACTCTTCATCCATCACACTGTGGTACAGGGTATTATGTCTTTGTGCATATGTTTGTTACACGCAAAAGGGAACGAGATAGACACATGGTTACTTTTGAGAATATGCATAGAATCTCTTTTTAAATCGATTCATGCATGTCGGTCCGTCCGTATGTCTTTCCATGTTAAAATTTAAATAAAGTACAGGTCGCATTTATCATCTGAATTGGATAAAATTTGGCACAGTTCATTTACATGGCCCAATGACGAACCCTAGTGAAATTGAGAAAAAATCGGTTCAGATTTAGATATAGCTCATATACATATTTTCGTTCGATTTTATGTTAATTGAGAACCAAATTTGCACGAAATTTGGTATATCGTACTAAATTTAGTCTATAGTGATGTGTGTTAAGTTTCGTGAAAATCGGTTCAGATTTAGATATAGCCCCTAAAAAATTTCTTTCGATTTGCACGAAAATTGGCATAGAGTACTAAATGTAGTCTATAGTGATGTGTGTTAAGTTTCGTGAAAAATCTGTTCAAATTTAGAAGTACCTCCCATATATAATTCCGTACGATCTTATGTTATTCAGCCCTACATTTCTTTTGATTTGCACGAAATTTGTCATAGCCTAATGAATTAAGTCTAAATTGATGTGTGTTAAGTTTCCAGAAAATCGGTTCAGATTTAGATATAGCTCCCATAAAGTCCTTATACATCTTTCGATTTGCACGAAATTTGCCACAGCCTACTGAATTGAGTCCAGAATGATGTGTACAAAGTTTCGTGAAAATCGGTTCAAATTTAGAAGTACCTCCCATATAAATTTCCGTACGATCTTATGTTATTCGGAGAACAAAAGCCTCTACATTTACCAGGAGAACTGTATTGATATGTCCCATCTTCGGACATGATCTAGGTATCGTAAAAATATTACGATGTGTAAAGATCTGATCAAATCGTTTGATATTGATTTAACAAAATTTCAAAATTTTAAACCTTTGCAGGGGAGGTACCAGAGGGAGTGGATCGATGAGTCCCATCTTTGAATTATATCTAGGCTAGGTAAAAATATTACGATTTGTTAAGTTTGACTCATATCGGATATTGCGTTCGTATTGAATAAGGAAATTTCAAAATGTTGACACTTTGTGGGGGAGGTATCAGAAGGAGTGGACCGATGGGTCTCATCTTCGAATATGCTCAAGGATTGGAAAAAGTATTACGATTTGCAAAGTTTGGTTTGAGTCAGATATTCTATTCGTTTGACTTCGAATAAACAAAATTTCAAAATATTGGCACTCTGTGGGGAAGGTACCAGAAGGAGTGGACCGAAGGGCCCCATCATCGGACATGATCTAAGTTTGGTAAAAGTATTAGAATTGACAAAGTTTGGATTAAATCGGCCTTTCCATTCTTTTGATTTTGAATAAAAAACATTTCTAAATTTTGACACTATGTGAGGAAGGTTACAGAAGGTGGGCCCTATCTTTGGATATGATCTAGGTTTGGTAAAAATATAAGGTTTTATAAAGTTTGGATTCATATTCTCTCCCTACCAAAAATTATAAATGATGACCAAATATATGAGATAATATATGGATTTTTTTAAACATATTTTTTCATGGTCCACTCTTAGGCGTGATCTACCCTTAGGCGCGGATTTTTTAAACATATTTTTTCATGGTCCACCCTTAGGCGTGGTCTACCCTTAGGCGCGGATTTTTTAAAAATATTTGTTCATGGTCCACCCTTAGGGGTGGTCAACCCTTAGGCGTGGATTTAGAACAAAAAAAAAAAAAAAAATCGTGGTCTACCCTTGGGCGTGGACTTTTTAAACATATGTTAAACATAGACTACCCTTAGGCATGATTTAATACCTCTCACAACTTCTTGTAGGTCTGGGTCTGTATTTAGGATAGATTTTGATGCAATAATTTTATTTTTTATTACAGCTCATGTTTTTTGTTTCTTAAACCTAACCCACAAATTTGTTTGCAAAATAATATTGAATATTATTGTATACAATATCAAATATATTTGAAACACACCTCCTACTTAAAATGAACGCTATCAATATACTTTTTCTCTAGTACCTATTGTTCAAATGACAGACAAAAAAACACTTGAAAATATTTATTTGTTTTCTGAACACTTTGTTTTTTTTTCAATATCAAATTTCAAGTAATAATAATAAAAAATAATAAACCACTCGTATTGGTAGAACTACTACAGCAAGCCATTCACTTCGATGTGGCCCAACGATTAACCAACCGGCTATCATTTATTATTCTAAACATTGTTATTCAATAATAACAACAACAACAACAACCCCCATCAACTAATTCCCATAAAATGTTGTTAAAACCATAATTAGCTGATTTAATCTGGATTGGATTTTTTTTTAATTTTCAAAATGCTTTCCATAAAAATCGTTTTAATTATCACAATTTGTATTTTTTTCTATTTTGTTTTGTTACGTTTTGTTTGCAATCATTAATCTAATCGTTATTATTAATTTTTTGTTTCTTCCCCACAACCCACCCAAACATCAACAGGCGGCGGCAAATAGTAGAGTTAACAATATTGGAAAAGGATTTAATATCGTAAGTTGATAAAAAACAAAAAACATTTTTTTGGTATTCAAAACTAATCTCTATTTTTTTCATTTCCATTCCAGTGTGATAGCGGCAATGATGAAAATAAGGTAGGTGGTATTAAAATTATTTATTTTATTATTTAAACAATTTTTTTTTGTCTACGAAAGATCAAGAGTTTAATTGTTAATGCATTTTAAAAATATCATCGAGCGCGCGGGGTGTGAAATATAATCAATTTATTTTGTTTTTATATTTGACAACTTAATATGGCTCCCAATGACATTATGAATTATGAATGAATAATGGTGGTCTTTAAATAATACCCCCCATCCATTTATTTGAATACTTTTAATCATCCCTCCCCGCCAAAATGATTGATATCCAACACATCATGATACTGGTTTGGTTGATTGTTTTTTTTGTAAAATATCAACATTTGAGGAGGAAATAATTCTTTCCGTTTTTTTTTTTTTTTTGGAAAATCTCTGTCAACATTTGTTATTGCTCGATTTTGATAAGAGTTTTTTTTTCTTCTTGTTTATTATTAATTTATGGCCTCGATTTATGTGGGATTTTGAAATTCCACACGTTTCTAATATTTACTTTAGCGCCATGATTTTTGTTTTGGTTGGTACATTCATTTTGTATGGTGAACTGGCGGAGAAAATAATGGAAATTTTTTGATAACATTATTGAAATATGAATAAAATGTTAGGAATAGGATAGAAGTTAGGAATATTTTTTGGAGGCGGTCTTTTCATGGTTCTAGGCGTTGATTTTTTAAACCTAATTTTCATGGTCTACCCTTAGGCGTGGATTTTTTAAATTTCATTTTCATGGTCTACCTTTAGGCGTGGATTTTTTAAACTTCATTTTCATGGTCTACCCTTAGGCGTGGATTTTTTAATCTTCATTATCATGGTCTACCCTTAGGCGTGGATTTTTTAAACTTCATTATCATGGTCTACCCTTAAGCGTGGATTTTTTAAACTTCATTTTCATGGTCTACCCTTAGGCTTGGATTTTTTTAAACTTCATTTTCATGGTCTACCCTTAGGCTTGGATTTTTTTAAACTTCATTTTCATGGCCTACCCTTAGGCGTGGATTTTTTTAAACTTCATTTTCATGGTCTACCCTTAGGCTTGGATTTTTAAACTTCATTTTCATGGTCTACCCTTAGGCGTGGATTTTTTATAAATATTTTTTAAGGTCTACTCTTAGGCGTGGATTTCATGGTCCACCAATAGGCGTGGATCTTTTAAAATTATTTTTTAAGGTCTACTCTTAGGCGTGGATTTCATGGTCCACCAATAGGCGTGGATCTTTTATAATTATTTTTTAAGGTCTAATCTTAGGCGTGGATCTTTTAAAATTATTTTTTAAGGTCTACTCATAGGGGTGGATTTCATGGTCCACCAATAGGCGTGGATCTTTTAAAATTATTTTTTAAGGTCTACTCTTAGGCGTGGATTTCATGGTCCACCAATAGGCGTGGATCTTTTAACATTATTTTTTAAGGTCTACTCTTAGGCGTGGATCTTTTAACATTATTTTTCATGGCCTACCCTAAGGCGATAATTATTTTCATATATGTTCATAGTCTACAATTAAAGTGGATTTTTTAAAAAATATTTTTTCATAGACAACCAATAGGTGTAGGTTGCTAGAAATATTTTTTCCAGGTCCTGATCTGAACTTAAAATAAATTGTTCGTAGACCTCCAATAGGTGCGGATTATCTTAATATATAAAAGAGCTTAGTGTTAAGTGAAGCTAGAAGCCTGAAATTTTGAGTGTGAGTTGTAGTTGGTGTGTAGGTATGAAATGTACTAAAACGTACGGAATGTCGTATCCTTTGTGTTAGGCGATCGGGAAGAGCTAGAATTCTGAAATTTGGAATGTGGGTCACTGATGCAATGTTAGAAAAGTGTACAAAAGGGTTTTTGAAAATTCGACCTATAAGTGTACGAAAAGTACTAAACTTTACTAAATTTAGTTCCAATCTTGACATTTTATATGGGATGCAGGTTGGGAAGTGGTGCTGATGTATGGAAATGGTTTAAGAAATTCGTACATATAAGTATAAAAAGTACAAAATGGTACTAAATTTGCTACTATTTACATTATGTTGAGTGTATAGAGAATTAGGACTACTATTGGAGTACCGGAATGAGGTAGCTTTAAAAAATTGTACTTATATGTACTAAAAGTACTAAATGGAACTAAATTTGGTGCAAATTAAATTTAGGTGAACAGATAGAGCTGGAGTCTTCAAATTGGGAATTAAAATGACTGTCGGATTGAGGTAGTTTAGGAAAATCGTATTTATTGGTACGAAAAGTGCTATATGGTACTAACTTTAGTACAATTTGGATTTTGCTTGAATGAATAGAGTTGAAAACCTGAAATTTGGAATTAAGGAATTTGGAAGTTCGTATTTATGTGTACGAAAAGTACTAAACGACACTAGATTTCGTACAATTTGAATTTTGTTGGAATATAGAATTGATATATGGAAGCATAGTACTTATGTGTACTAAATGCCACTATATTTGGTACATCTTGATTATGTGTGAACGGATAGAGCTGGACTCCAGAATTTTAGAATTAAAATTACTGTTGCAGTGTAGGATTGAGGTAGTTTAGAAAATTCTTAATTATAAAAACAAAAAGTACTAAATGGTAAATGAGTACAAAAGTACTAAAACTTGCAACTTAGGTTACTGTGGGAGTGTAGGAAAAGCAGAGAATGGTACCAAATCTGGTAAAATTTAGGAAATTGGTAGAGTTGGAATTCTTAAATTTGGACTTATGATTACCATTTGAAAGCAGGGTTGGAATATTGGCGTAGGTTTGGAATATGGGTACGAAAAGTACAGAATGGTACCAAATCTTGTATAATTTGGTTTTTTAATGAACAGGCAGAGCTGGAATTCTTATATGTGGACTTACGATTACTACTTGAAAGCAGGATTGAAGTAAATTTGGAAATTTGTACTTATGAGTACGAAAAGTACTAAATTTGGTACAATTTGGACTTTGGTGGAATTAAGATTACTATTAGAGTTTAGGATTAATTTAGTTTTAGAAACGTTTACTTATGAGTACGAGAAGTACTAAATGGTACAAAATTTGGAACAATTTGAATTTAGTTGAATCCTTTGAAAACTCGAATTAATGTGCACGAATAGTAAATAAAAAAATAATAAATAAAAAATGCATTACATTTGGATTGGGGTAACGGAGAGAGCTAGAAGTCTAATATTTAGTATGGCGGGGAGTTAGAAAGAAGTACCAAAGGGTGGCGGGGTCCCGGGCCGCCCACCTGCGTTCGTCCCTGGTATGAAGAGTACTAAATGGTAATAAACTTGATATTACATGTAGATGTAGTTGATGACAAATTATACCGTATTCACAATTTCCATATCAAGTGTTATTATTTTTTCCCCATTTCCGCATATGAAGTAGCGGACACTTTGCTAGTTAACAATATTTTTTTAAGGTCCAATTAGAGGCCTATATTTTTTAAACATATTTATAAGGCCCAGTTAGCATTTATTTTTTAAACAAATATTGTTTTTTTTTTAATTTTTTCTCAGGATTTTAGCTAAAGGTTTCTTATTTAAATAATTTAAACCTCACACGATCCCTTGAGAGACCCACTTAATCCGTATACTTTAATCTAGTCTAATTATAATGACTTATCTTTTTTTTTTTTTTTTCTTCTCCAAAAACCCAATTTTTATGGGTTCTTTTGGATTTAAAATTAATTTAATGATCTCAACGACTTTTTGGGGTGATAAATTCCATGACAATTAGATCTGATTATAATATTTAAACATTAGCACCTCCTATTCTAAATTAACACCGCCGCCACTCACTCCAGTCCAGTCCAGTCGGGCGAAGTGTAGAGATTACCTCACCAACTAACCAATCTCATAAAAAAGAGGTTGAGGGAAATTAAAACATTGGGCCTCCTCCTCTGTTTTTTATGATTAATTAAAAGTGGAAACATAATAGATTTTTAATGGGATACTTTATGGCTATTATGGCTTGTTCAGAGCTGAATGGGCTGACTAGTCTATGTGGACTGGATGGCTTGTTGGCTGACTGACTGCTGCTCGGCTCCCATGCTATAATAAAATGATCAAATTAATGGTAAATACAACGCATCGTTTAACACACAAAAAATACAAAAACAACAATAACAACACACACACGCAGGGGCAAACGCACAAAAAGTTAATTTGTTGTTATATTTCGAAGTGGAATGGGGGTAAATGGTGGGTCTTTTTGGTATGGGGAACTATAACATCAATAATAAAACAAAGGCGCGAGACGAGCCAGCCAATAACAAATGTGTGTGTATGTGGATCCCCATACAAAAATGAAATAAAAACATTGAGGCTATGAACTGTTTTTTTTTTTTTTTGTTAACAACATTAAAATTACAATGGAAACAAAAAATAATAATAATAAAAACAACAATAACAAAATTTACACATCATCATCATCAACGCCGCTGTTGAAAACATTCTCATAATTTTAAATATTATAATGATGGCCTAAAGGGGGGGGAGCGCAAAGTTTTTGTTTTTATTTTTTGTTTTTATTTTATGCTAATTTCAATACCACCTACCTACCAACCAAAAATCCCATATAATGTTGTGATAATTATGATCAACATGGTAGTAGTCTTAATCAATTTTGCTATAATAACTCAACTAAATAAAAGAGCCAATAAAACAAAATACTTAATAACAACAACAACACTAAAAACAACCATAAAAAACCACAAACTACTGCGGCAAATCTATTTGATGGGAAGACGGACAGACAGACGCACACACATTCGCGGAACCCCTGGCCATATTATAAATAGCTATTTCTGAGATATTAATTTTTTGCTTCAGGTCATTCTCTTGTTCTTCGAAGGTGGTCTTATCAACAGCAACACAAAATATAGTCAATTTGTTAATGCTAATGATGGCCAATAAATAATTAAAAAACAGCAACAACAAAATAGCAAGAAATAAATAAATAAAATAGATTTTTTTTTGGAAAACAATAAATAAGCAATTAGATTTGATTATGAATAGAAAACCAG